TGCAAAATGGCCCTTTTAGGCCAAAAATACATTAAATTTTTTACTAAATGCTCATAGAATTTTAGAGGTCAGGCTAAATTTCGGGATTCTGTGTTTTTGGATTGAACAGTTTTCCTGTCTACCCTCTATTTGAATCTCCAAGATAACGTCGGCAGCACATTCGCCATGTCCTGTAGGTATCAAGGTGAATGAAGTAGAGAGAGATTGACTAAAAGTGGCACAAGATGAAGTGAAAGACAAAAATAAAGGAGTCTGTAGATAAAGGAGAGTGGAAGGGAAGGGAGTGGAGTGGAAATGAGGTGCAGCATGACAGTGTGTGTGTTGAGGGGAGAAAGAGAAACAAATGAACTGCAATACAGTGAGATATTGAAATGGGAAAGGTGGCAGAATTTAAGGAGATGAGGTAAACGTCAAGAGTGCAAGTGGAGAGCAGAAAGAAGCAGAGCATGATGGGTAGAAATGGCAATAAGGGTTTGACGTTTAATAGAGGTTGAAGGGAGGTAAAGGAGGGTGAAAGGCAGAGACCACAGAGAAATGAAAGCCTGGATCTATGGTTACCCTTTGTTCACCTATATTTTGATGATACGCAAATTCTCACCTCTAGTTGAGCAGGCTGTAAAAATTCAATCCCATATCTCAACTGAAGCAAAGACAGACAGCTAACAAAGGGGTTTCCTGTTATATTTGATGTAATGAAGCATCTCATTTGGGAAATTGAAGCACCATTAGATTTAAATCTGACAACTTCATTTCTAACAGATGAAAGTAATAAATAAGACATAAGCAAACAGACATGTTGACATAATTATTTCAGAAAACACTTATAGCTTCTGACAGACAGGTTCCAGGTAGATGAAGCACAACATCTGAAAGCCTGTTTGGCCAAATGGAGAAACCTTGAGCTTCAGTTTGTGAAGTCATATATTTGATGCTGTTTGAAGTACAACAATTCCAACAGCGTGAAAGTTGTACAGTTGAAAAGTAGTATTCTTTTGAAACAAATTACTAAAAAGGTTATAAGAGAGGACGTTTTATTTTACCTACTCTGCGGGACACTTTCTGCTCAGCTTTTCTAAAATGTTTTAGAAGGACATACTGATTTCTCTAATTTTTTACAATTGAAATGCAACAAGTCACATTTATGAACTGGCACGCACAGCAGCTTTTTAGACTTTACTTTGTTGTAACCCAGACAATGACTGTGACTGGATTAAATGTACCCCAAAATGTAAGTGTTTTTGTTTGTATTTTTCTGTTAATTTTTATTTATAGAGCAGTTTTTTTTTTCAAGATGGCAGTGTTAGTTGAACCCAGCATGGATTCACCCAGACATTATGTTTGACACCATTAACTCTGCTCAGCTTTTGACATTATATATATATATATATATATTGTAAGGACAGAATGTAAATAACCAAAATAAAACTCTGCATTCAAAATTGTGAGAAGAATGAAAGGAAATGTGTAATTTTCAGCTCACCTGTTGCAAACCTTGTGATGCTTATTTCTCATAAAAATATATTTATTCTTTATTTCTTTAACACCTACTTTTAGGATGTGAGATTTCATGTTTGGAAAGACCTTATCCGTCAAAGTCAATGTTTATACTGCTGTTGCTCACTTTGGACCTCTTGATAACTTTTTCTGTCATACTTGCTTAGTAGCTGTGCTCTGTCAGCCAATTCATTTAGTTGCTTTTTGTTGTTTTGAAATACGACAACCATGATGTGTATGAGTCTATAAATATTACTTTACTGTCAATAATGTTGATTAGTGATACATATTTGACTGAGTGAATCCCTTTAGAGAACCTGAGCTGCAGAGATGAATCTTTACAGTAACGTCCTTGTTGAAAAAATCTGTTGTTCACAATCCCTTGACATTTGAAGTAAAGTCAACTTTAAATATCCTGCATGTTAGTATGTACAAAGAAACAGTAAACAAGGATCTAATCACACAAACGTTTGTAGCAGCAGCAAAGTTCACTCTTTCAGGTTTGCTTTTTATTTAGTTTTGTTATTAACTAGAGTTGACAGGCTAGGTTGTCTCTGATTCTGATTATTACTTTGCTAGTAGGAGTTTTACTGACCATACATCACCATGCACCTAACAGTGGAAGAAGCAATAATGGAGCTTTCAGCAATTGCTAACATTTGAACAATTAACCTTAGCGTATGCTATTTGTCCTATTCAACACTTAGTTGTTACGGATATTGGAGGTATGCTGACCTTTTTAATTTCATCCTAAAGGTCATAGTGGCAGTCTTTAAGATGTGCTGCCAGTTAGCTGAGCAACTGGACTTAGTAGAATATCACAACTTGTCAAGAGCTATGTCAGCATACTTTGACTTTACTGGTGACCTGCCCTTTATGGGCTAGAACCTCCACACAATACTTATATCTTCATTTTCCTAACTGTACTGTAATACTACTGTAATAAAGGCTGTCTTAATATTTACTAAAATACATATGTTGAAGTTCTGCTACCAGCTCACACCCGGACAGTGTTTTTGCTTCTCAGCTATCTTTGCTCAAGTAAATTTTTACAAGGGAGTAGAAGGTCTGAGAGTTTTCGACTCCATTGTATCAGTCATTTTGAAAACTCATAAAAAGGGATGATGAACAATATTGATTAGAATTTTTATTTTTTATTTTTTTATTTAAATTTAGTTAGAAAGGTGCGGCATAGTGTCCTTCTCTCTGATGGTAGTATGATTAAATTCTCATTGTTTTCTACTTTTTCTATGTGAAAACAATGCAAACCATTTGAAATTATAGCAAAGAAACTCATGTACCTTATCATCTATTATATTACAATTTATATATTTGTGTGTTTTTTTAGGTTATTTTCATTTAATTTAAATTTTAAGTCCTTGACTATAGGATGGGCTGCAGATTCTCGCTGACCTCGAACACAAGTAGAACCAGGCAAAAATAGAAAACTGGTTGTGTTTATATACATCTAAAACAATATAATGTTATGTCACGTTTTACTATAATTAATTTTCTTACTAGCACATTTTCCCTTTTAATTCATATTGTATTTCTTACAAAGTAATAATCTATTTACATAATCCTCTAAAGAAATCAAACATAAAATAAACAGAGAAATAAAACGTCTCCCAATGTCTCAAGCAATTTCCGTCTCATCTTGATCCTGAACTTTATTTTTATAAAAAAGAAAAACGAGGGATTCAGTTCTCTGTTGTCCACCAACTTGGCCTCAGTTTTAACAGAAATCTGTGCTTCAGTTTGCATCATAACATCCGTGTCAGTAATTAAAGACAAATTCAAATTAGGACCAGAGCATTTTGAAGATGTGCCTTAACAAACTGTTGAGTGCTAACAGCATTTGCTCATTTTAAGCCTAATGAAAAGGCACTGTATTAGGGTGTGTGGGTGGTAAATCACTCTTAAGATGCTACAAGGTACATTTATTATTCTACAGAGGCATCATACCTTAGGAGCCATTTGTTCATAATAAGCAGAAAGTACAGAGCCATGTTAATTTTATGTCAGCTAAAAGGAAAATAATTTGTGAACTTGAGAAAGTCTTAATAGATTTTTCATGAGTCAAAAATCTGATTGGCGAAAGCAGAAAAACAAAAGTAATTTGTAAATTACTCACCAGATCAAACAGATTTATCATGTTAGTTTAAAGTAGTGTTACAGTAAGTTTGTACTGTCCCTGAATAAAGTAAAATGATAATGATAAATCATTATTGTAGGTCACGCCCTGATGAAGCCAATAGAACCAAATCATCTGTGAATAAAACAGACCCCCTCAGAGATTCTGTCCATAAAAGACATGAACAGAATCGGTGACAAAGGGCATGTAGAAGGGTTGCGCAAACTTCCATGCACCCTCCAGGATCCTGCTGAGGGTGTAGAGCTGATCCAGTGTTCCACGGCCAGGACGAAAACCACACTGCTCCTCCAGAATCCGAGATTCAACTATCCGACGTACTCTCCTTTCTAGAACCCAGAATAGACCTTACCAGGGAGGTTTAAGAGTGTGATCCCTCTGTAGTTGGAACACACCCTCCGGTCCGCTTTTTTAAATAGAGATACCACCACCCCAGTCTGCCAATCCAGGCTGAAGAAGTACTCCTATCTGGCTTTATTGACCTGTGGGACTCCAAAAGCAGCTGATATGTACAGGCAGTCACAACGGCAGAGGAGAGGCCATGGATAAAGACCATCAAGGGATTCTGGGAGTGCTGCCCGGTGTCAGAACGCTTAGTCTCAGTTGCAGGTCATGGGTCTTTACCAGGATAATTGCCCAAAACACAAAGCTGGAAATACATCAGTGACCAAGAGGAAAACATTGGACTACTCTGAAATGGACTTCTATTAATGCTGACCTAAATGAGCATCTTTACAATGAGCGGAAACATGGCCTCTGAAAAAGGCACCCTTCAAATCTGTAACAACTGGAGCATTTACTGATGAAGAGTGAACCAACATGATACATTAAGTTAGGGTGACCATCATTTTTATCCTGGCTCATTTCATGAGTTTTTTTTTTTTTTTATCATTTTGTTGAAACTTGGTTAAAAAGCAATGTCTTACTTTAACTTGTTCAGATTCATATAGTTTTTATTTATTATTACTTTTGTCAGATTCAAGTTATTTATGCGACCATTGTGGTTTTTTCTGTCATTAAATGAGGGGTACTAACAATTTTGTCCATGTGGGTTATAGTGTAGTCTCTCTCCATCGACCAATATCTGAGTTGGAGCAGGTTTCGTAGTTGATATTAAAACAAATGGTTGCCTTTTTAAAATCTGAATGAATGCTATTTTTCTCACTGTCCAACTCATGTGGCGACCATTGTGTCTACATTAAAGTGACATTTTTAATCGTTACTGGTCAGGCTTCTTTTTCTTTTCAAAAATCCAGTGAATTTTAACTATTAAGCAGGTGTTATATTTGCACATATGCCAGCATCATTGACTTACATCATCTATTTGGATTTATGTGTTTGTTTTTTCTCTCAGGTTTTGCTCTCTGGACTCATCGGAGTGGTGTCATGGAAGAGGCCGCTCTCCCTTGTGGTAAGTGTCCTCTGAACGCCCAAACTAAACTGCATATCTCACCGAACAAACCAACAATACCGGAAATGAAATTGAGTCTTTTACTTTTACTGAGATTGTGGGGACATGATATCCCTTGCTTTAGCTGGCAACATGCCATAGCATAGGTAAAGATTGTAATTAATAGAAATGATCAGATGAACAAATGGAAGTTTTTCTTTCTAATGCAAAATTACCAGATGACATGTTGACACTGAAAAATACATTACTTATCTGACTTAATCCTACAGATACACGCAGGCTGAGTCTAAATTCTTTCCTCAAAAATGCAATGCTGTTTCATGATTTTGGTGCTGATGACTGTCTTAATTATTCATATCATTCACCTGTCTAACTCCGGCCATTTTCTCATTACTGTTAATTGAATCCACCTGCTCCAGCTTCTATTTAACCATCCCTCTAACCAGACATCAGTGCCACATTATGACATGTTGCATGTTGATGACTTCAAGTAAGCTGTATCATATTGTTATGGTTATTATATGTGAAAAAAATTAACGTTTTAAATATAAATGCCATAATTTTTTTAAAGAGGTTTTCATAGATTCGTGAAAAACAATCAATTGTAAATTTACACTACAAACTGACAGGTTGATAAAATGCCTAAAAACAAAATTCAAAGGGTTCTTGATTCCAGTGTATGCTTTAAGGGTATTAAAAAAAGCTCCCAAACTTACTTCAGCTTTGAGGTCTGGTGCACATAAGGCCTTTGAAATAATATAAAATATAAGAAAAAAACTTAAAATGCATTTTAGCTTGAGAAAAGTATCTGTATTTCATATCCATTACATGATGGGGGCTGCAAGAACCAGTAGAACCAGCAGTACACAACCAGCAACAATGACGGGGCCTGCAAAATATTCACTGGAAATTTGCTATAGGGGACAGAAATTAAACCGGCATTAACCAACCGCTCTTTGCAATACAGAAATTAAAGGTGCAGTAGGACATCTTTTCTGATGCATTTTTTACCATGTTGCTTAAAGATCTCCCCACAGCCACTTAGCAAGCAGTGAAAAAGAAAGTCTGGAAGTGAAACTAAAAGAAATGGTCCCCACTACAGTGAGAAATCAATGAATAACCTCAACCACAAAAGACGGTCTGTTGTACACGATTGGTTCCTGACACGTTAATCATGGTTGTCTGCTTATCCCTCCCCCCGTGCATGTATCCTGACACATGAACAAATCGACCCCCCAATGCTTGTGCAGGACGGCATTGCTTGAAGCTAGCCAGTGTTATGCCATGTTCACACTTAAAGCAGCAAGAGCAGCTAACACGCGTGAGCTGACCAGATTTACTGGGGCCGCTTACTGAACCGGACCTCAACAGAGAGCCAAAACCCCGGAGTAGGGGGTTGGGGACCAATAAGGCAGGAGGGAGAGGCACGGGGACGCAGGTGTCCAGGTTACCGTTACCGGGTCAGGTTCACTTGCTCCGTCCCCCGCTGGCTCCCTGTTTCGACTATGTGCTTGCACTGTAGTCGACAAAAATCCCGCACAAATTTGAAATTCCCTCAGGACCTTTTTTGAGGCCTGCAAGTAGGAAATGTCTTAAAAAAAGAGGACATCTGGTCACCCTATCTTTGCTGCTCTGTCTGCGCGGTGGAAAAATGGGTCCTATGCGTGTTGGGCGGAGCTACCCTATCCTTTCTTTGCCTGTAACTATGGCAGCTATATTTGCTGTGATCAGTGGGTAAAAAGTAGTTTTAATTTATTTTCAAGGGATAAGCTCCAACTGAAAACATCGTCAGTGCAGCCAGTTCATCCAGATTACCATCGGGCCTTCAAATGTTATTTCTGTCGGAGCTGCTCAAGCCCCCATACACCGGTGGTGTGCTGTCACAAGGATTCCCATTCAACAGCAGCCTATGGCCCGGTCTCCTCCTCGCGGTTTACCACGGTGACTGGAATGCATTTTTCATGTGCATAATCCAAACTGCAGGCACCAGGATAATAAAAACAAATATGTTATGCCAGCAGATTTCGGCATTTTAAGTTAATTTAGGCGTTAATAAACTGTTTTAGAGTACTGTAGTGATCATAGCGCTCTGTATCATCAGTGCAGCCTGTCGCCCTGCCAGCTTCAAGATCAGAGACCTGCTGTTCCTGCTTCTCTAGATGTGCTGCACGCAGCATGCTCGTTCATGTGTTTTGAAGGTGTGGTTTCGAGGGGCTGGTCTGAAGGGAGAGGCATGGTTGTGTATGTTCAAAAATAAAGCTTGGTGGAACCATTCTTCCAAGATCTCCTACAGCACCTTTAACGGCTACAAGAAGTTTAAATTAGATTTGTACTAGCTGTAGGAGGTTACCCGCCTTTCTATAATGCTATTTTTTTTCTCATCTGTCTTCAAATTGTTTTCCCCCCAAAAAATCAATTTGTTTTAAGGGAAAATTTAGAAAAACCTTTGTTTTTTGTTTTTTTGAACACCAGCAATTTTTATCTTTTTGCTTAGACTTTTTCTTATCTTTAAAGGATGACAACTGAGCATAACTATGTGACTCTGCGCCAAGTATGAGCTTAAAATGAGATAAAACTGATTAGTTTTCAGGTCAATACAATGCATCTGATTTTTTTATTGATGCTCATTGTGGGCTGCTTTTATCCAAAAGTATCTAACTAAATAAATTGAGAGGGAATTATCCAAGCACATTTCTGGGGCTAAAGAAGTAGAAGTGCTTTACTGTGCAAGAAAAAAAATTACATTGCAATTGCATAAAGGCAAAACAAAGATTTAAAAATAATTAAAAAAAAGGTCCAAAAGAAAATGGTTATCTAAAAAAAGGTTATTCAAAATAAAATGAAAGGAAAGATGCACTGAAAACTTAAGTAATTAGGTCTACAAAGTACAAAGGCCACTTAAAAATATATAAACATCCCTGGAGTAACATTGATAAACCAATCACTCACCACTTTTCATCTTTTCATGTTTGTAGACCATTGCTTCCACTGTGGTTGCTTTAGTTCTAAACAAGCCTGAGTAGATAGATTGGATTTCTTGAGACTGGGACATAATCTGTGGTTTTCTGAGATTTTTCCCAACTTCATACATTGAAAGACAATTTTTATTCATGTGCTTTCCTGAATCTAAAGATTTGGCAGTAACCTGATTGTCAGGAGATCTGTTTTTAAACATAATAGAGAAGAGATTTCCTTAAAGACACCGGAAATTCTCACATCGCATAACTGTTTTCTTTATACTGCAGAAGAACATTTTGTATTTATCAAAACATGATTTAAACAGTATTTAATACAAACATGCGGCAGTAAAAGTATACAACATAGGCTAAAAAAAGATGTTTACAAGCTTTAAGACAACAATAACAAGCAAATAAGGAATTAAAGGTCAACAGAAATACTTATTTTTGTACTATCTAAAAAGATCTCGAGAAACAATTGATGCCCCTGTTTAGAATTGTTTTGAAATCATTATTAGTGCACTAATAAATCATAAATCAACTTTTCTTTGCTGATTCATAAACAATGTATAGCCTCTCAAAACCCACCGGTTTTAAAGCGTTTAAAACCAATATAGACATGTTAGACATGGTTGGAAAGTTTAGATTCTCCACAATTCAACCACCATGTTCATTTTATGGACACAGTAAGCACCAAAGTACAATTAACACAGATATAGCAGCGTTTCATAATGTAAACATGACAAAGCAGCCACAACATGCAAGCATGTCTTTATTACTGCTGTTAAAAAAAAAAATATATATATATATTATTTTTTAGAATAAAAAAAGAAAAACTTTGAGGGCTGTTTGAACTAATGCAGCTTGGGCTGTGTTTTACTCATCCAGTTTTCAGTTGTTAGGATTCAAATAATGTATCAGACATGTAATTTGGGCTTACAGTTCCTAAGTAATTTGCTTTTCCATTTGGGTACGCAAAATAGGTGAGAATTTCCCAAAATGAGGTGGATGTTAAGGGGATAGACATTGATGATATATACCGTGAATCAACTTTAGCACACACTGTAAGCCCCTATCCAATCCTACTTTTTTCAGCAAATAATCTAACAAATAATTTCATGCATGCATCCTACACTTCTCCGCAACCATGCAGGAAACAGCTTGTCCTACTCCTTTAAGTTTTATCACCTTATCTCCCTGCTGCTTTTTCTGCATCCTTTTTCTTGCTGTGTTATCCCCTCCCCCATCTCGCTCCACCTCCCTGCAACTTTAAACCAAATCAAGGCTTCAAAATCATATCTGCTCTTAGAGATCAAAGCGGTGTTGCATCTTCAGGGTATGTGCAAACACTGGTCATACTTAAAGCACTGCTGAAAGAGTTGCACTCTCTTTTCTTTGTCTTCTTTAAAGGCATCTCTAATGCTGTTGCTGCCATTAAATGGCTCCATAATGTTCCCTCTTGTGTTTGTGGCAGTTTCTCTGAAGCCTCCTGTTCAGCCCTGACAGGCAAGCTTCTGGCTTGGACCAAGTGATGACTGGCAGGTGACTAATACACCGGCTGGACAATTTTAAAAGCTGGCAACACTGCTCCAACCCACTTGCCAACTGTGGGTGGTCATGCTCTGCATCGTGATTTGCTTAAACCGGTGTTCCTCCAGACTGCTTAAGCATGTGTGTAAAACATTTGTTTTTCTCAGCTGACTTCTGCAGGCTTGGGCTCTCATCATATAACAAATGATCCAGATGATGACCATGCAATAACAAAAATATACTTTTAAGGCCATTCATTATGAAAAAATTTTGTATTGATTGGTTGTTTAATTAAAGATTTAATAGCACAGCCAAACTAATACTCCCAACAATGTATTCATTGTCAGATAAATGTTGATGATAAATGAGCATTCTCAGCCATATCAATAGTAGAATCTACTATCCAGACTCAATAACGAATATATGATCAAACTGTTGCCAACTGGCATAAGAAAAACTATCAATTGAAACAGAAAGTACTGGATACTGTCTTTCTAACTTCCTTTTACAAGT